CCAACGTCGGCTTGCTTTAATGCCGGGGAATCATTCACTAAGTAAGAAAAAAGGACGTCAGAAAAAAAAAATACCACAAGTCAAAAAATCGATAAGCATTACCTCCATCACCTGTCACCGCAACAGTACATCCCCCCACTTGCAATTTCTTCACGATTTGCAGTTTCTGCTGAGGAGTTGTTCGGGCGAAAACGATCTCGTCAAAGGCGAGTGCCTGTTTCCATTGCGACTCAGTCATGCCGATGAGGTCAGAACCGCTTAGGACAAGACTTCGCATATCCGGGACCAAGCGACTCTCAATATCGGGCTCGTACCCAGCCACCGACTCTAAAGAGGCGTCAGGCGGAAGGTCTTTAACATACTTCACTTCGCTCATTGGCGTCGTGATGATTCCCACCTGCTGAGCGATGGCGGCAGCAGTAGAGGAGAAATCGCCTTCAAGGTTGGTTTTAGTAATAGGGAACGTCTAGGACACGAAAACGGACCTGTAACCATTGCAAACCGAATTCCTGCTCGACGTGCCGTGGCGACGGTGCGCTTAACATCGTCTTTCGGTGGGTCTATCAAAGCCACCAAGCCAACTACTGTCAAGTCGAAGTTGAGACCAAGCATACGATCTTCCATTGGAAAAGAACCAGATTCGACGAAAAAGTCTGTTGGAAGTTCGTCGCCGCGGATGACCTTCTTGGCCATGAGCAGAACGCGTTGGCCACTCGATGCGAATTGCTCTTGTATCGCCGACAAACGGTCTGTGATGGTCTCGTCCATTGGCACAATCGATGCCTTCGAATTCATGATGTGGCTACACCGACGTGATACTATCTCAGGAGCCTATCGCATTTTAGACAGTGATGACGGGACAAGACTTAAGCTTACTCCTTTGACCAATAGAACGTAATCCGATGACACATCAAAGTCATCAGAGGTAGTCGGTTTCTCTTGGGGAAGCACTTGTAGTAGTTTCATGGCAAACTTGTTCTCTATTATATCATCAGAAGGCTGGACATGCTTAGCAGCGACAGGCACATACTAGAATTGAAGGCAAGCTTCGCACGCTCTATCCATGCTGCTCGGCTGCTTTCAACAGGATCGAAGCTCTCTGAAAACCGAAGTAGACCGGTGTCTACGCGCTTCGCATCAGTGGAAAGATCGACATCATGTTTAGAGACGCATACCCGTAGCATCTCCGTGAACCTTCCGAAGCTCCACAGGCAAGTCCCCATCTGGCTTGTCGAAATGCGCGTCGTTACAAAGTCCCGCGGTTGCAACCAAAAGCTTGATACACTCCCCGAGAGATCCATCATTGGCTGCAGCCGTTCTTGCTTCTGAGACCGTCAAAAGCTTATCTCCGATAGCGACATTAACCACAGTCATTTTGTTCTGAGTCAAAGTACCCGTCTTGTCCGAAGCAATGAAATCAACGCATCCCAAACTCTCGACCGTGCTGAGAGACTTGCACAGAATGTTGGCTTTCCGCATGGCACGGGCCCTATAGAAAAAGGATTAATAATGACGGAAAGCTAGGTGCATTGTCACCTACATCACCGTCAGAGAAAGCGTAACGCAAACGGGAAGGCCCTCTAAAAGAAAACTAAGGTTAACTAAGAATGAATGTGATTAGAACAGTGCCCTTCTTACCCGGTATAAAGGCAACGGCGACAGAAACCAAATCTATAAGCAATGTCGGAAGAGGTATGAAGTTCGGGTGGTAACGACGAAGCCATGTAAGCCACAAAACTACATGCAAAAGTGAGCCCCCCAAAAAGAACACGCCGCGCACGGAAGTAGGTGCTTACTAACGAAGATAACGTCGATTGTAAGGGCCATGCTACATATGATCAACACAATGCGGCGGATCTCAGACTCCAGTGAAGTTTGCCCAGGACGCTCTGATGCTGCTTGTTTCGCAATCCGTCCGAAAACCGTGTTGTCGCCAAGGCACACGCAAACGCCCAGTCCATCTCCACCAACACAAAGCGTACCCTGAAGAGCGATGTTGTGAGACTCCATGACTAACAACAAAACCCATCAGCTTCCGCATCGATGGCGGTTGAGGCTGGAGCTTACAGTTAGGATTAGTGTTTTCAACGGTGGCGGGAATAGCGTTACTCTCGCCAGTCAAAATGGACCTGTCGAATTTGAGATCGGAGGATACCTCGAGGAGCCGTAGATCCGCAGGGACTTTGCACCCCATGTTGATATGAACGATGTCTCCGAGAACAAGTTCAGGCGCAGGGACTCTGGCTAGTCGTCAGACGGAAGAGCCGGTATTGTGATGCTACTCACTCCAGAACGTTCCCATCCCGAGAGACCAAAACATTCATGGGCAACATAGCCGCTATAGAACTCATAGTACGGCTTGTAGTGAAATCTAATACAAACAAAGTGAGTCGTCGGCCAAGCTTGACCTCGTTCCCGTACCTTGCCAGGCATTGAAGATGGCCTGCATCACAATAACTGCCAGAAGCACCACCGCGAGGGCCAAATTGGCGGTGGATGGTTGCGGGTCGCCGATGGGCCTCCTACGGAAAGCTGTTAACTTCGTTTCCCTAGCGAGCAAGCATACGAGCAAGCAAACCAAGAGAGGAAGCAGACGATAGACGCCACGCATAACAAACCACCGAAACCTTGATGACACCCAACATATCAAAGTGTATAGGAGACAAACGACGGCAATTACACACCTCCAAATATATAGAAAAATATACGCTTTGGTAGATTCTTCGGCGGAGGAGTGATAACATTCTTTCCGTTCTTCGCCAGACGCCTAGAAACCATGGGCCAATCTAATCCAGATTTCTCTGATACTCCGAGACGAGTGAGAACCTCAAGGGTTTCAAGTTCGTGCCAGTCCAAGTCCGCGATTTCTGGGGGAAACGTGTGAACTTGCGGTCTGCCAATAAATCATAATGAGCCTACCCTTTACAACAGACTTTGCGTTGGCGTCCGTTCGACCTTCTTTTGTCTCCTCAACATGGATACTATAGACTGTGTGTCAGCAAAAGGGATCCTTGCGCGCAACAAGTGAATAACCTCAACGTCCTGAACTCGCCCGGTATCTTGGCCCCAATGTTGACCCGTGGGGAGTAGTAACTGGAACCGCGGTCCTGCGCTGCATTACCGCGAGAGCGAGTCTCCACAAGGACATGAGAAGAACGTTCCGTCTCCTTCTCAGTACTTTCACCGAGAGATTCCACGTCAGTGTGAAGAGGTTTTTCGCTAGGCATCCGGGAAGTTATCAAGGAAGAAAAGTCAAACTACTTTGGTATCCCTGTATCCCTATTCTTGCATTTTCTATGGAATTGACTTCCCACGTGATTCAAGTCTCGGAGGGATTTATGTCAGTGCGGCGGCTGAAATCGCGCCGTTCTATACAGTCAGACGGACAGAATACTTAGCACTGAATGTTTCACCATGCGGGTCCTACAACAGTGGAGGGTTTTGAGTCATTTAGCTTGTTATATCATTGTGGACGTACCACTCTGGACCACACCCTACCGAAGATAGGCTTGCTATCGATTCTTCGCAAAAAAAAGTGTCCCGTCGACGACTTCCGAATAGGAGCCCTCTCAAGGTCCAGTTATTTCCGCCTGACGTTTGATCGCATGCCCTCCACACCGATGGAATATCAAAATATACAGGCACGGAGAGCTCCTGAGGTATGTCCGATGGGCTTGGTGATCATCGTACTCTCAGGTGTCTTGTCCGTCAAAATTTGCATGCTCCCAAAATCTACCTCTGGCGGGCGGCATGGGATTCAGATCTGTTGGAATCTGCGAGAGAGTTCGAGCAATCCGGCATTCCGGCATGCTGAGTAAGGAAAGAATCTGAGAGAAATTGAAGGAATTAGGTAAAGTTTTTTGACCCCCAAACAATCCTCCTAAAATGTTACTGTTGTGCTCAAAGTTCAGGTCCGTCAAAAATGTTCATTTTTCCGGTGTGAGTCCAATATGCGGTTTTTGGTCTTGACCGTCCGATTACTAAGACTAGACGAGCGGAACCGCTCGTTATTGTCTGTTTTGGACGATCCCCGACTTGGATCCGAAGCCTTCATTCACTCACCCTCACTTGGCAACAGTGGACCCCCGACTTTCAGTGTATGCAGAAGCTTCAGTTCTATGTACTCCTTCATGTATGCTCAGGCTCGCTGTTATCTCAGGCTACTTTGATTCTTCGAGGTAGTCCATTTCTCTTCCATCATGGTCTGCTCTAGCACGCCCCCCCCCCTATCTCCCATCGCAATGTAAATGTGATCTAATAGTTATAAGCTACTTTTGTGCCTTCGATTGACCTGTGTTGCCCGTCGCTTCAATCGAATCTTGATTGGCATGGGCCATCCGCATAACACCAAAGATTTCAGCTTGGATCTAATTTCGGCTCATCCCGTAACGGCAGAAAAAGTATTATTCTTAAGGTACGTTCGTTCTCACTCTTTAATCTGATGTTCCGTAAGATAGCGGCGGGCCTACGCATATGAACATCTGACACTTCCATGTAATATATCAATCATTAGAGCGGCCCGACCTTCTCTCTCTACAGCACGTTTTACATAACAGATAGATAATACTACCTTTGATTTATATCATGACTCCCACGTGTGGAAGTCATTCACGCCCGTTATCGACCACTGACGTTGCCTATCTTCTTTCGATAATGCATCGCCTCCTCAGACGTGCCTCGCCTGCCTCATCATCAAATTCATGCACAGGTGTAAGAGCACCGACATCAATTTTGATTTAAAGACCTGAGCAGCTGCGATTTTTGCCTCATGCGAGGTGGAACCTGACGTGGGATTTTGTCGCGAGTTTCCACTGCTAAGTTAGATGACTCGGTGTATGACGTCGACCTGATGTTCTGATACGTCTATCTCTCGGAAATATACCCCCATCTTCAAATCATTTACTCTCAGTCTGCCTAAACTCATGCCCTTGACATGCCTGCAGGCTTCCATGACAGCGTCAGTGCCAGTTGATGCACTCATGGCCCAAGCATAGTACAGGTTATCAGTCAAATAAACTAAGACGTTACTTCAGTTACACGGCAGTGCCAGGAGACATTACAGAGTGAACGCCGCTCCAATTACAGCCTGAGAAAGTATAGGAGGCGGTACTTCGGGCTCAACATTCTGCGTGGTAGCATTGCATATTGAACCTACTGCTATTAAATAAATTCACTATCCAGATATTCATTATCTACTAGTCTGGGCACTCTTCGCTATGCAGCAACAGCCTACTATACACACTTGTGAATATAATGTCATAACCTTTTTTATAATGACCAATTTAAGTCGGATGCCTGTAACTGATTGCTCGTCAGAAGGACAGATGAATGGATGGATCACTGCAAAAGGGGTCCCAGGCCATAGCAGGAATAGCACTGTAAGGCTCATAGCTCCGCACTGTAGTCGACTATGATAGCGGCTAGCGCGACACGTAACATTCAGTATCGCGGACTTGGTTCTCAGGCTATGATACCAAAGGTGTTTTTCCAGATGCAGCTTTCAACAATTTCTCAGTTCTATTCCTAGAGATTTATAATTATGCGTTGGACTTCTAGCCAAACAAATGATTCTTCGCCAGTTCCAGTGCATCACATCCACAAATCAGCGCTCTGGCGCAGAGGACACACCGATGAAACGAACACTGGTGTCAAACTTAGTTTCAAGCTTTGCGGTGATGTTCCCCCCAGTTCAAGGTTCAGTGCTTCAGTTCCTGGACTTGAGCAGCGGAGATATCAATGCAATTTGCACGGTTTATAGGCACAAACCAAGGTACGCATTCCAAACTAGGCTCTCCAGTGATCCTAACACTGGCTTCGTAACATCTAATTATGAAGGATCAAAGTAAAGTGTTAAGATCGCATCATCTGCGCAATCTTCTTCAAACACTTTTGCCCTGAAAGCAAAGAGACTAATCCTGGCCTTCGTTGTCCCCTTCTCCTGGTTGCCAGAGACACGTTCAAATTTTTGGGCTGCGCGGTGATGATTTATCAGATTGCAACCCGCAGACTCGATATAGCGCAAACAAAATTTGGTTAAAGGCAATGTCAAGCTTCACACAATTGATCGGTTGATCTTCACAACGGAAAGAGTGCATGCGATCATGACGATCGTCTGTTGGCAACCGCTGAAACAGGCTGAAACGTTCCCTACAGCGATGACGATTTGCTTATGTAACTGTTCCTCCTTGTCTCGGCCTTTGTGGGTCCTTGGCTACCCTTCCTGATTTGCACCAACACATGCACTGAATGCAAGCGTGATTCTTTTCCCCCTTGCGGGGGGCGGGCGCCCTACTTGTTCTGATTTCTATCCTGCCATAGAATTTTCTGCAGATAAATCGTCACCCATATGGTGCACAGCCTGTAGCGCAAAAGCAGTGAAACCCATCTGTAACGCATAAAAAAAGCGGGGGACATGTCCACGGATAGACCTGGAAGCCTGCGCACGAGAATATTTCATATCCTTCAACTCGGATCCGAAGGCGAGGGCGATCTTTGTCTCTTCTGAGCCAACGCCGTCATCGCGTCAAACCGTCACCGTTACTTGGTCCCAAAATAGTCTCCCAATTCTGTGCTACAGAACCCCGCCTCTCTCTCTATCATCATCAATCGGCTTATTCCGTTCGTGCACTCTCCACGAAACACGTATCCTGTATTTCTACCGTCGCAGAGCAGTGACCGCACCTGTTTCACGATCTCAATTCACCATCACGACATCTCAGTTCCTTGACACTGTTCATGGAACCGCATTATCCGTATCCTTCTTCCTCTCACCACGTACCATCACTATCAGTTTCCAGCTCAGACAGCAGCATGACAATCAGCCCGAACTCGACTAGCGGGCAGTGGCAACTTTCGGTAAGCACACCCTGACTTCAAACGGTAACCCATGATGTCTAAAAAAGATCTTATCAACGCCATTTACATCCGCATTTTTCGACCTTAAAACTCGACCTTCACTACGTCGACCCTCCCTTCCCACAAAACAACGCGTCATTGCATCTCACCCACCTCGCTATTCTCTCACCATGTCGCCTAAAATGTCCGTATACACCCAGCGCGTCCCGGGCGATGTCCCAACAGCCGTCCACTCTCTCCTCCTCTCCACGAAACAACTCCAAGAGTCCCTTAGACTATGGAGTATAAACCAAGCCACCGAAACCCAAGTCAGCGACGTATACGTGCAAATAGGCACCCAATTCAACACCACGGTGCATGCCTTTGCCCACCACAAAATCGACCTAAGGTTAGCAAATCCCTCCCCCTCAACAAAGTTCCCTTCTCACTTGCTACTGCGGCTTCTTTTCATTTCAGTGACATTCACAGCATACCGACAGACCTTCGGACAGTTCTAGAGCAATGTCTCGCCGAAGACCCTTCACCACAAGCTCTGGCAGTGTACATGCCAGAAGTCCGACGGGTACTGTATAAGCTCCTGAAGGGCCTTCAGGCGAAGCAGGATGCTTGGAAGGCTGTGGGAGGACGTATACCCATGATGCCTTCCGAATCACGATAATCACAACCGGAGCCTGTCGAAGCTAAATTATATCAGAGGTGAGCGCATCTGTGAATGATTGATACCCAGCTCTTTGGTCTGACTCTTGTGCCGTCACAGAAATGAGGGTGAAGCGCCGCCTACGTGGCGCGCAAGAGCATGTGGATATGTTTAATTGTTTAGGCCGGAGCCAATGGCTGGTCTTTGTAGATTCATTACATACTGTAATTTCTTTTCCTACATTTCTGAATGGAATGTCAAATATCCCAGCGAGACTTTCAATGGAACAGGGCCGTGGTTACAATGGAATTTCTTAACCAACAAATTTCTCAACTTTGGTGCTTCTAGCTCCCGTTGTTCGATCAACTAGTGCGGTCGGGATTCGGCGGTTTTTCAGTACCTCCAAGTAGCCGTGGGCGGCGAGCAAAGGTCATTTTTCGGCCTGAACTTCCCTGACAATGCATGTCCGAAAATTCTTGAATGCTCGCATCGAAGGCGGCGCCGGTGAGTAAGTGGAGACAGTCTTCGACAGATCAAAAGCTGGGCCCGGCCTACAGAGCGGACGTCCTGAAGGCACATTTCCCCCGTGACCGAGGAAATGGTTCTGGAAAGAAAAAAAAAACAACAATTACGAGAACGAGAACAAAAACGAAAGAAGCGCTCATGATCATGAGTTCCGCAGAAAGATCCCTCCTCAGAGTCCCGTCGGCCCGCTTTGACCGACGTCGACGATTGCTTGCCTAGGGATACACAACGTTTACATTAATAGAGGGCGGTGTTCTACACAACCTGTAAGATAGTAAATAGAATGCAAGACAACGATGAACAATAACACCAAAACGAGTTCAACGACGAGGTAGATACAACGGAAAGATGTTGATGAAGGGCGCTCATAAATACATGCACTAATAGTTAGCGTCCCTTTGGAATATGAACAGCCCTCCGCCCGATATAAACTGGAAGGTGGATAAGGAATTAAAGAAAGGGGTGCAATATATGTAATAGCCAAGATTCGCAACCAAAAAAAAAAGAAAAGTAGAGTAGCATTCGAACGCAAGTTAAACAAAAGATGATCAATCCCTCGATTCGGAACTGGCAGCTGTTGGCCAGACGTTTTCTCCTCGACTCCGTTCTTTATCGGAAGAGCGTGCCAGAGGAATGGCACCAGTAGAAGATCCACCAGCTGGTCCCGACATAGACGAAGATGACGTCTGTTGTTGCTGTTGACTCGCAGACTGCGAGCCACCACTAGAAGCAGCCGTGTTCCTCATCTCGTCCATCCCCCTTTTCACATCCCCCATCAGCCTGTCTGTGCGGTCCAGGATCTCCTCCATCCGCCGCCTCTGGTCATGCAGTTCCATATAATGCCTCTCCAATTCCGCCAAGGTCGGCATGCTACTGCTTCCCATCATCCCCAGAGCCGATTCATGTCCGGAATGGGCTGTTAAAGGACCGGTGTAGAATGGCGACATCCCTTGGGGCGGGTGAAGGATGTAGCCACTTTGCGGAGGCACCGCCGATGCGTGTCCCATAGGCGAATGTGTTCTGCTTGGCGCATTCGATGCCGACCTCATGTAGCCGGGAGGTAAGCCGGAACCAGACTGAAGACCACCGCCAATCGCGTTTAAGGGAGGAAGCTCGAAACCTCCATGGCCGGCAATGAACGGCGACGAGCGTTGCATGTGCGGGTAAGGACCAATCGATGGCGGCCTATGAGAACTCTCCCCAGCCCAGCGTTTCCGCGATCCGCTGTCTTCTTCGCCTCCAGAATCTATGTTATCATCATCGCCAGACCTTTTGTCACCTTTGCTTTTCCTCGCCTTCTTCCTTTTCGGTTGATCGGCTCCTTCTCCATCACTCTCGTCGCCAACGCCGACACCCCCGAAGCGGCCTACAGAAACCAAGGCTTCGGCCGCGGCCTGATCAGACATTCGGCCTAGCGGAGGAGGACCGACGGGACCTGCAGCGGGTACACGTTTTCGACGCTTGATAACACTTTTCTTCATCGAGTTGGGACGATGAGTCCCGTGAAGCTTGAAGTAGAGGCCTGTGAAAGGAAGACTATGAGTAAAAGCACATCACAAGATCAAACATAGAAGAAAAGGTGAAAAAAAAAGAAGGGGATTAAGGTGCGGGTGATGATAACATTATCATCAGCTCACACCCACCTCGCAGTCGTTGGAAAAAAAAGTGGACAGATAAGATATTCAGGTCCATCAGTTTTTATCTGATAAGATCAAATTCAGGTCATGGCTGCCAAACAATCGATGGCAACAACTGGGTACGTGGATGCAGGGTCACGTACGCAAACGATTACGAAAGAGGAAAGAGGAGGGAAAAAGTCAGAAAGGAGAGGCGACTTACCGCACGCATTACAAATATTATTGCCGACGTCGTCCCGCCTCCACAAGGGCGTCGTACTTGTCCCACAATTTGCACAGCTCAACGCTCCTACAGCACCTCTCGGCATCTTCCTGGAGGGGTTTCCGCTCCCACCAGGTCCCCCTGTCGGATCCGGGCTCCCAGCACCTTCACCTTGGCCCGGCGAACTCGGTGCCACATCATTGCCAGCACCTCCCACCGACGATGAAGCAGTATTGGCTGGCTGGGAAGGTGACTCGGCGACGACACCCTTAGCGCTGCCAGCGGGATCGTTGTTGCTGCCAGGTTTCTTCTCCATCTCCATCATCCGAGATGAAACTGATACGTTATTGTTATAAGTGGGACAGCCTGAGCAGGCTGAGGTCCCACCTGTGCCGTCACACCTGCCGTCTCCGGGACATGTTCCTCCAGCATGCGAAGCTGCTGGCGCAGTTGAGGATGGGTTGGTGGCAGCGTGTTCAGTGGGAGATGAGGGCTTGCGCTGCTTTTGGGACGGAGACGTGGGTGAAGTCGGCATTTGTCTGGACCCCGAACCATTGGAACCGTTGGTAGGAGCAGAATTGAAGGACGATGGCGGAGGATGAGGAGGTGGTGTTCGAGCTAGTGATGATGGACGAGGCATATGCCGGGACTTTTGATAAAGACCTATATCAGAGGGAGGAGGAAGACAGTAAGAACGAGACGAAGACGCAACGGCGGATAGCATAAGAATTGAAGAGAGAAGGGCAAGGAACTGCGTCAATAAACCGTTCTGAAACGAAGAATTACAAGATGATGTAGGTAAGGGAATAGAAAGTCTTAACCACGAATGAGATGATTGACAGGACTAGGGTAAGCGACGTGTAAAATGCAAGCTTGGCGCCGGCCCAATATCAAGTCATTGAAACACAATGAAAAAACGTTTTTCATCGTCGAGCATGCCTCTACGGTGCGCGACTGATGTGACCCGATAGTGATACATAAGATACAAGTGCGAAAGCACGACCAACGCGCGCTTTTGAATGATGAATGGCTGAGGACATGCAGAAAGCGGCCAGCAAGGTTCCACAACACGTGTAGAGAAGAAACCGATCGACGGGCGTGCATTGGAAGAGCGAGGATAGGCAATATAGGAGGCACACTCACCACAAGCATTGCATACAGAATTACCATCTGCGTCCCTTCTCCAGAGGGGGGTCTCCGACGTTCCACAGTTCACGCACGCCGGTCGCGGCGTTTGACCAATTCCGTTGGAGTAATTGTACTCTTCAGAAGGCCCTGACCGCTTCATTGCATCGTATAGATCCGAAGGCAAACTAGAAGTTGCTGATTCAAGATCTGATAATGATGAGCATCAATACGACTAATGCCGTCCATCGGACACGTCAAGAGCGCCACGTACGAGACATTGTCGATGAAATAGGCGAATTATGCATGTTCAGAGCGGGCTCTAGAACAACTGGCGACATTATTGGGTTACTTTTGAGGCTGGTTTAAGGTTTTCCTGGCTATGCAGGACGATCCTAATAGGTGACCAGAGGGGAAGAAAGTAGAAAATGTCGAGGACGACAGCTGTCAGAGCAGAGAGACAAGATTTTAACACAGATGATGGTGGTTCGTGAAGAAGATGTGAAAATAAACAGCTCGGGGAAAAGTGTCAGCAGGGACAGATAAATCCAGATAACGCTCCAACCAATCAGAGGCATTTTATTGGGCGATTGATAACGGTTCGAGACTAATCGCCGTTTATCTCCCGGTCTCGATTACCAAAATTTGAAATTGATAAATAATATTATTCTATTATTACACTTTCTTCCCTCGGCCATTCACGGCACTGATTGCCCAGGTCCTTTCCTCTTTTGGCTCCTCCTGCGCAGGCGCCCAAACTCGAAGCTCCTCATAATATTGTTCTCTGTCATGATCCGATCAGCTTTGCTGAATCTAATCATCACAGGGAGGACAGATGCGAACGACGCTCCTCAGACCAAACTGAGATTCAGCCCCGAATATAACTTTCGCGGGATGATTACCTATATACGCGCACCTACCGGTATGTTGGGTGGTCGAGCCAGCTCCAGCCGATTTACATCACTGTCATTCCTTGGTTCTCCTCGCTTGTTTATACGTGAAACCCTCTTGGCCTGATTCACCACTGTCTCATCGAATAAAAGAGTTTCGCACCATCAGGGTGATATCAGGGACTGGGAGATAAGCCACACGCAATCTGGCATCTTATCAGATAAATCAGCGTCGTGATCATTATCACGGATCCTTTGAAAGACATTCCAGGCCAAGAAATAGGCCTTCGGGTCGTCTGTTGGCAGGAAGGACAAGGTTATTCCTTCCGAATCGAAGCACTTGATGAGAGCATGGTTGCTCACGGAATTATCGATGCTCATAGATACACATGAGGAATTTAGAAATTTAGGCCATCCTGACTATAATACCCGTATCTAAGTTTTCGGAAGGAGAATAAAACTCACTGAAATTCCATCCGATATCAAAAGTTCTGATAAGCCGTGAAATAGGCCCTAAATCAAAAAAAAAAAAACAAGGAATGGATCACGGGGCACCTTTACTTAAGTCGAAACTTCGCTGATTCGATGCCGAAAACATCCATTTGGGTACGTATTTCGGCTTGATGGATGCCATAAATGTGGATGTCACTGAAATCTGGTCCAGAATGCTTATTTCCGTGTCTGTGATAGGGAAAGCCGAAACTAATTTTCAGCATGCTTGGGCTCAGCAGGCGAACTAATGCATTTCAGACAACTGAGATATTCACGTTTACCATCTGCCGAAACTCTATCCCAAATGCAGGCTTTCGTAGACTGGATTCATATCCGATATCTTACATTCTGGGGACAATTCAAGGCCTTCCCGAATCTTTAATATGGCTACCAGTATCAGCAAGTCTCATTTTTCACCCAAAATCTTACGTATAGACAGGTAAATCAGACGCTCTCAAAATTTCTGCATGCACAGTATAATAGATATCAGCGAGTATCATTGCAGGTTACAACGGCCAGGTACAATCCTGCCGCGCACTATCTCGCCATATACATGTCCCCTACCACCGACCTGTGTACAATGCATGCGTGTATAATGCGACGCTGCGCGTCTGCTCTTTCGAGTTGGCATGAATGTCAAACAAACGTCGACATTATACACGGCTTGAACACACCCTGGATCAGACAACTTCGTCGAGAGGGAGAAATGGGAAGTCGGGTATAACCAAGTACACTGAAATGAATAGTAAGACATCGTCGAGGTAAAGGGTACCACCGGCCAACTCACCTTTCCCTGCGACAAAAACGATATCCAATCTACTCGTCACCCTCCTGTAAAGACAAACCCTGGTTATCCGCGGTCTCGAAAGAGTTTAGACCAACTTGAAGTCTCCTTGCCAAGGACGGTCATGCCACGGACTCTGGTACCTTTCGGAGCCACAGGTAAAGACCGCTGCACCCGTCTGTACTCCAAGCAGTTGGAGAGAGTGGTGAGATACCTTAACTCTATTAGATGAAATGGATGTCAGACCAAGCCAACAGAAGAGGCTCCATCGACGTACTGCCACGCCCTTTAGAAGCCATCCACAAACGCCGATTGATACCCCCGATATCCCCTTGTACTTGACTCACCTTTGCGGTTCGACCGAAATGTCGGACGCCATTCAGTATCCTCCAATGATGATATACTGTACTTTCAAATAACCACAAGCCCCCAGGAACACCGATTTCGCGCAGTGACTCTACTGCAGGCAGAAAAGTTGAGTTGTTTATCTCCTCAGAAGGATCCATGTCAATCAAGGAGATATATAGGTCCAGTTGTGTCTGCCTATCTTGAGTACTCATAGACAGGTACCGAGAGTAGCGGACACGGATTGGAATATCACAGAGTTGTGAATCCTGTGCAGCAATAGTCCACCTGAGCACGAAAGAGACGTATGGAAGGGATGGAAAGAGAGCATTGAAGCCAATGTCGTTCGGTAGGTAGACGAGACAGCGATACACTCGTTTCACCGCTGTTTCCATTGCATCGACTTGGAGGTCGACAAAGCAGGTAATGGTGCGGGTAAGCTGGGGGATGAAGTCGCGATAAATGATAGATTTTCCGAGTCGGGCTATATCACATAGGTAGTATATGTATGAGAGGTTGGTGATGTATATATCCCGAGAAGCGATAGGGGCATAGACGGCCATCCACGTTCGATTGATACTGGGGCAAGTAGTCATGAATGACTTTCGGATGTAGGACGGCATTTCAGAGTGCCAGGCCTCATTTACGATTTTCTCTATAAGCTCTGGAGGAAACGAGGTCATGGCAAAAGAGTAAGAGGAGCTTGGGCGGTCTGAGACGCTGCAGGATCACAAAGGCCATGTCTCATTTAGGGACACGAGGGTAGGGATGGGTGTGCAGACGTGTTGGGAGGTTTTTCGATGTTGTGGGAAAGTTGTCTCGTTTGGGAAGGCGTGTGAAATTACGACCCGGCATGGCTTGCAATGCCGCATTTCCTTCTTTGGAAACTGAGACCACTGCCTCACCATCCATCGGTGTGACAGCTTCAGGCCTTGGGGGGAATAATGCCAAATGTCTGGGAATGCCACTCCAAGATCAGTGCACTGCAAATACGATGGTTCCCAAGAAATTTGGTGTTATTCTTCCCAAGGCCTGAAGCTGTCACACCGATGGATGGTGAGGCAGTGGTCTCAGTTTCCAAAGAAGGAAATGCGGCATTGCAAGCCATGCCGGGTCGTAATTTCACACGCCTTCCCAAACGAGACAACTTTCCCACAACATCGAAAAACCTCCCAACACGTCTGAGGTCGTCTCCAAGAACATCGACACTCCTCAAGATTTGACAAAATGGTGAGTACCATGCACTCTGTGTATATATGGGATGCTGCTGGTGGTAAATGTGGTGTGGAAGGAGCTATAATGAGGCTGGATTGAAAAGGATCGACCTGGATGTCGATATGCACCGTTCTTCTTTCTCCGTTCCTGAAGCTCCTACTGACCTGCTCTTCTTCTAGACAAAAGGTTCGTTGTCCAGTGATCTTCGAAGACTCATCTTATCCTATCCTTTTGCTCGATAGGAACCTCGTCATTCGGGTGCGTCATACTATCTCGTTTCTTTAGTCCCACCTGACCCTTCTCAATTTTACAGTAAGCGACACACGAAGTCCCACACTCTATGCCGCCGTTGTGGGAACAGAGCCTTCCATCGGCAACACAAAAGTGCGCTCGTTCTTCAATCTTGGAGACGTGACGCAGAGGTTGACTTCGTATATATAGCCTGTGCCCAATGCGGGTACCCGTCGGCGAAGCTCCGTTCGTACGAGTGGGGCCAGAAGGCTAAGAGGAGAAAGACCACCGGAACAGGGAGGATGCGGCACCTGAAGGATGTCTCTCGCAGGTTCAAGAATGGGTTTAGGTACGTGCCGAGATTTGGTCGAAAAAGTGTCTTCACATAACAGGCACTTCCAGGGAAAACACCGTCGCCCGCAAGAGGACCAAGACGACGACGGAGGCTTGAACTCCTAGTCGCGAGCTGATCCGTTGACGCCGGTAGCTACATGCAGAGACTGAGTACTTATGCGTCGTCCTACGTACTGAGTCCACTTTCATGCGAGCACAATGTTTGAATATTTTGAATTGCGTGAAGTTGCTTGCGAGTGAACTTCTGATGCATTGCCGTTGCACCGCCTTCTGTGCTTGTTTCCGTAATGTTGCTAACGTCGTTTGTCGTCGTTGTGCTGTTGCATTGTGTTCAAGGTATCCACATCTCCCTCATCGAAATGATACTTTCGACTCGGAAGGATGCTAATGTTAATGACCTGCAAGTACATTTGCATCTCCATTGTTTTCGAAGTTTGCTTGTGACATGCCACTTCTCATATAGAATTCGCTTTGAAGGGTCCGCCTCATGGCCCCTGCTGGAAAATGCGCAGATTCAGGAATCCGGAAGACTTTCAGTTCATCCACCCTGCAATGTCTCGACTTGCGGCGTCCCCTCTTTCCACCAGAGTTCTGTTCACTTCAACCCCTTCTGCGTTTCGTCAAGACTGTTCAGAGGATATATACACGAACCCTTCCGAGTAGGATATCAAAACAATGACCCTTGGTGATGAATGGCGTGGTCAAGACTGTTGTGAATGCATCAACTCAGTGGTCAGAGGAATATCTACTTGTTTGGAGGATGAGGAAGGACAAGAAGGGTGTTATAAGGTATTTCTGTCGTGCATGTGGTCCTCTCGGCATGGCAGCCAAGTGTGGGAAGGACGTATATGGGCCAGCTTTGGTCAATGGATATCGCATCCTCGCAGAACAGCGTATCATTTACTATCCTCCGACGGCCTCCGTTCCACGTCACCTGATATCATTTTCCAGTTATTCATGGTTGTTGACTACTGTTTATTCTCAAATATTTGGCCAGTTTTTCCTATGGTTGACTTTACATGCGTTCCCAGATGCGAGACAGTCTTGTCATCTTATCTATTATCGCTCTACTTGTTGCCTTGCGTGGTACACTGCCGCTACTCAGGTCGCTCCTGTGCCTTGGGGATGCGAGTTATGTTCTGTTTTTGGGTGACGTGTTACGGGTATCTCGCTTGCTCAATATATTTCTTGGCGCTTACGACGCAGTCACCCCTTTGAGGGTGGGCGATCTCCAGACTTTCCTCACGTTTTGTTTGTTCTCAGTGACTGCTGCGCCCTGCGACTACCTCAGTTTGACGTGCTTCATCGTGACCGCTTATGAAGGTCTTTCGCTATTAGCCTTACTCATTCATAGTTTGTTTTGGCTAGTGACCCTATCTTACAGCGAGTGGTACAGAAGCTCTTAATCAGGTCTTCGATGAAGCATGTACTCGCGTACTGATAATACTTCATAGAGCACCTGCTGTGGCTTCCTCCTGATATCAAGATTATTCCTATTGAATACAGCGGCTACGTACGTTCAGTCGTTGACCCTCTAAACACTCACAGGCCGATGGTATACTTTAATCGCCTCAACGTCTAATATCGCCGAAAAAGCAGTGGTCGCGAAAGTAGCTAGAGAGGGAAATTCCAGCCTTGTATGTTTCGTTGTGTTCCCTGATCAGTGGTTCTGACCTTTCCTCCCTCTGACCTTTGCATGGCAAATATCAAGGGCAGAATAGTGCCATGAAATACAAATACGGTATGCATTACTCTACACTCCTTGTGTCTACGAGACCTAGGCCTACTCACGCGCCATGCATAGATAAGAGCTTATGATAGATAATTTTAGGTTTGATCTTATGGCAACTCCGAGTTCCCCATTGTCTACTTGAGTGATATCTAGGGTCCGATAACTGCTACTAATATCCATCCCTTATCTCGTCCCAACTGGTACAAAATCCGCAGTTTCAACGCAAAATGTGGGACACCGGAGAAGCTAATAACTATAAAGCCTCGTGTTATCTCACGAAGTCCAATACTTCACTTCAATGTTGGCGCTTCTGGCTTCGTTACTCTCTTTCCTTCTTGTCACGGTAAACGCCAATCCAGACTCTGAAACGGTGTTGATTCTCGGAGGTGGCGTGGCTGGCATTATCGCTGCTAAGACTCTTCACGAGGCTGGCATAGACAATTTTATACTCATTGAAGCTCGAGATGAGCTGGGCGGAAGAATGAAAAGTTATCGTTTTGGTGGGAAAACTGTCGAGCTCGGCGCTAATTGGATTCACGGCGCTAAGCCTGTGTCTGGTCCCGCGAATCCTATTTATACCTTGGCGATAAAACATGACGTGAAAATGCAGTACAACGATTTTTATGGAAGTTTGTGTAAGCATATTTTATCTTTCTTTACCTTTTCCGAAACTGATGAACGGGTAGCGACATTTGATATTAACGGTACCGCTGATTTCGTTGACGTTTGTCGCAAGGCATTCGCAGACCATGCTAAGCTTACTATCGCCGGAGGTGCTCTTGTTCTATGTACCATCGAATCTGGCTAAGTTTTAGTTTCCAATAGGTGAGAGACTCAGCAGATCGCTTGTTGATCTTTCTGCTCGGACGGGTTACGCTCTTATGGGGTCTAAACCTCAGACGCATTATGAACAAGCCGCTGAGTATTTCCATGTAGTTCATTTCACTCTCACCAATTCGGACCCCCTTCTGATGAACGTATAGTTCGACATGGAATATGCGCAATCTCCGGAACAATCATCATGGATCGCCCAGGCTATGGTGGGCACGTTTATTCATATTCGGTGTCTCGAATTGACAGTCGGTCTGCAGAACGCAAACTTCACCTATGACTTCATTGGGGGGAAGCCTTTGAAAGACACGCTTTTATCTATTGACGAACGAGGATTCAAGACCGTTGTCCAAGCGGAGGCGGCGGAATTTTTACAGCCTTCTCACGTCATGTTTAATTCGACTGTAACAGATATTTCGTATTCCGATAGTGGAGTAAGTGCAACTCTCGACGGTGGGCGCGTGATTCGTGGCGCGTACGCTCTATGTACGTTCAGCCTGGGCGTGCTTCAACATGATGATGTTCGATTCCATCCAGAATTACCCGGTGAGTCAGCTTCTTTAATGAAACAGCCGTTGTGTGTAGATGATGACGCATGTCGGAAAGTGTACAAACAAGAAGCCATTCAAAGCATGGTGATGGCCACATATACGAAGATTTTCTTCAAGTTTGATCGAAAATTCTGGTTTGACACAGAGGTGAGAAAACCTATGGTATTCACAAAAACTACCACTTACAATAAAATCTAATAGATGGGGTTGTATGCAGATCCAGAACGAGGACGTTATTCTGCATGGCAGAGCTTAGACCACCCGAATTTTTTCCCTGGTTCGGGCATCATTTTCGTCACTGTGACTGTAAGCCTCGGTTGTACCTGGTAATACTGGATACAGCTCATTGATTCTAGGGTATATTCGCCGAACGAGTCGAATCATTACCGGACTCGCAAGTCCGGGAAGAGGCATTTAGCGTATTGAAGCAGATGTTCCCAAATATTGACGTCCCGCAGCCACTCGACATGTTCTTTTATCGATGGCATTCAGATCCTTTGTATCGTGGGTCATACTCAAATTGGCCTCCGTCATTCTTCCTTTCGCATTATCACAATTTGAGGGCTAACTTGGGAAGGCTATACTTTGCTGGCGAAGCGACGAGCTTGAAGTTTGTCGGTAAGTGTGTTAGATCTTTTTTGTGGATTGCTTGAAAAACTTCGTTTACTAGGGTTTTTACACGGAGCTTACGATGAAGGTCTGAATATCGCCGGGGAAATCATAAAGTGTATCCAGGAGGAGGATGAGTGTGCTCCGATGAAAAGGGTGCCAGACATTACCAATGGAGACGGGAAGTCTTATGGTCGCTTCAATATGCAGTACAGTTTGTATTAATCGTATGATTTAGTAATGTTGGCAATTTGTCCCGATGTAGAATAGATAATTTAATAATAGGCTAGGACTTGGCATTTGAGCCTCAATACGGGCGTTGAGTGAGGCAATTCTAACGGTTCGGTTTACCCTGTTCCAGGTCAGCCTCACGCCCACTGGTGCTCAGGATACCATCGGTCTGAGTGTTCTCTGGAGGCGCTGAGCCAAACTGCAATGTAGAGACATTGTTTGCTTGCCAGCTATCATTGGGACGAGCCTGTCTTGATGCAACCCGCACTATGAGGCGATATTCCCTGCACACATGTAAATATACTTCTGTTGAGATTCAGTTTTCACGGCTTTAATGTCATATTCTATTTATATATATTTACTGCTTACCTTATACTTTGACATTTTTGTACCTATTGACTTGACTCCGAACCCCCACTGTCCTTATTCTATACGACGAAATATACCTTTCCTTCGAGTCTAATACGTCTCCCTCCGAACCACCAGCACCTCAATTCCAACAACTTCGGAATAAGATGAAACGGCAATAGACTATTATTGTAATATATATTATTTGAGGATAATCACTCGCAGCCCCGCCGCGAGCAATAAAAATGAAGGATAAGATGAAGGAAACAGCGTAGAGCAAGGTGGACTCGACCAGGATTTCGACGATACCACGGTAGGCGCGCGCCGCAGCACTGATCCCCTCTATAGATCTCTTAACAGTAACGTCGATACGAAAGATAATGAGAGTGGTGCATAGCAACGTAGTATCCAAAGAGAACGAAAGGTACATTGTCGTCCAGTTGATTTCCGATCTTCCCAGTGTAGTACCTCCGTCGGAGGTTTCATGTAGATCATCGTGTAAAGCAAAGCAGCCAAAAACTGCGGAGGGGAGTCAGTGGCGTGTGTGAAGGTAGGGAACTTTAAATGCCGTACCTCCCTCGCCTAAGAAAAGCAGTATCGGTAGAATGACTACCATCCAACGACGGCCCCGGACTATCCAACAACGCCAGATCTAATCTGGAGTCAGAATTTTGTTGATAGGTATGGATTTTTGAACATATATGATGATGTCGGCAATATCAGTATCAATGATGCCAGATGTGATCCCAGATACCCAGTGAAACGCCTGTGCCTGGGGAGACTGCAATACAGTAACATAAGTTTCTCCCTTCTTGATATAGGCATAGATAACATAAGCTTAGTTAAAGGTCAAGACGACTGAGATGTATAATAATATAATGATGAAGACCATGAAATCTCGGGCTTTGGACCGTTTTTGCTCGCTGGAGACTGTATAATTAGTCTAACATGAGCGCTATGTGGAACACTTGTTGGTATCATTTAAACATGCAAGGTCATCAAATTGACGAAGCTGAGACTTCATGAGCTTCATGCTACAAACTTGACTGGGGCTGAGAGGCATAGAATTCGAATAAAGGTTGAAGCAAATTGAGGACTCCCGAAAAGTCAACATTGTCAACAGCGGTAAGAGAGGTCCTTTGTTCGGAAGATCTCTGATGTCAAGGGAGGGGAAAATTCTGGAAAAGAGAAGCCAGGTACAATAAGATTTGTGATACTACTGCTTGGTGTTCACGCATGTACATACATAGTATCTGAGTCCACACCATATGGTTAAGGGTAGAGCACTGTAGCATGTGAATTTAAACTAGAGACATGTCAGATATCAGAAACCTAGACCTGCATGCCTTTGTTTGGTTGTGCTCCCATAACTGCTATTCTACTACCATCATCTTACCTTGCTTCTTGTTCACCATCCCCTTCCAATTGCTGTTAACATGAGTGTGCCAGCATCTTTTCTCAACACAAAACAGTTTGACCTCTTTGAAACTCTTGGTGACTTATCTTATTCAGGTGTCTCTGTGGAGCAATGGGTGAAGAACATATTTGGCACAAGCACAGCAGAAATTGCATTTGTTCACAGTCGAGCACCTGCATGGGGTATGCAAAGGAAGCTACAACCATTGATTGACATCCTGTCTGGTAAACAAAAGCCTGGCAGTCTTCAGCAAACCTTCCAAGACCTATGGAACACAGTTGTCCAAGAATTCTGTTGGGAGGACATCTGCCCTAGATTCCCAGTTCTAGCTGAACAATTTAAAGGAGCCATCTTTCTGGTACCAGCAGCTCCTGATATGGGCACTTCAGACTCCCCACTCAAGGCTATTCCTCTCTCCAAGAACAAATGGCGACATGTTATTTGCCCAGTACATGTCTATATGCATGGCCCCAATGCCGAGATCGAAAAAGATTACCGATGCACATTGCAGAATGCTACTAATATATGCAATCGTCCTCAAGCCGCATCCATTCCCAGCTGGGTCAAGCCAAAGTCATTAAAGCGTAAAGCTCCTGAAGGCGACTCATTACATCACCGTCCTCTCAAGCGCACCCGCATCTCGTACGATGACATCAGGCTGGGTACCTCCGCCCAGCAATGCACGAGCGCGGCATATCGCATGCATGTTTGCTTGATATCTATTGAAGACGCCAATATGACATTGCACTATTACGACTCAATGGGATCGATTCGGTCTGTTCCGTTCAATATCGTCCGGCAATCGGAGGATCTCCTTCTTGTCATGTGGGCGATGTGTAATCAACTTCGTACACAGGCGGGCTTCAATCCGTTCGAGTCCAACACCGCTGGCGAGTGGAAGGAAAACCAGTTTACTTTTGAGGATCTGGATACGAAGGAGGAACGTGTTTTTACTGCCATCGATGGGCCGCTCTTCAGTAGCGAAGAATTATTGGGCCGAAGGACACTAGTCTTGCCCGTTACCGATGTCTTTGAGAGGATCCTGGTCCTAAAATTCGCGTGGGTTTTGCGCGATGGCTCAGTGCCCGAAACTGAGCTCATCAAGAAGATCCTTCGTTTGGCACCAGAGATCAGGAAGCACTTACCAGATCTCCACTTTAGTCGCTTGTACGACTCCGACATGGACTTGTGTCTGCCACGATTTTCTCTATCTCACTTGGAGGATGAGCAGGAATACTCCTGGAGGCGTGATTTACTCACTACTGTAACGACGCGCTATTATCACCTATGGAAGGTTCGAAACCTTCAAGAGTTCAAAAAGATCTTCATCGAAATTGTCGAATGCGAGTATCCTCTTTGTTTGGATGCGAAGTTCGCTCATGAGAATTCCAGGTCATCACATCGCGCACAAGAAAGGCCGCGTTCTTCATCGGGATATCAGTTGGACCAACCTGATGTTCGACCGCGTAGACGACATACCCATCGGTATGCTCAATGACTGGGACAACTCTGCCCACGTGGACGAAAACGGCAACATCATGGCTATTCCTGGGATGCATGAAAGTGCTCGAGGGACGTTCGTTTTCATGGCCGTCGACCTCCTACGCAACAAAAACCAGAAGCACTTCTATCGCCACGACTTGGAGTCATTCTTCTACGTCCTCGTTTGGGCTGCTGTCCATTTCAACCTGAAAGAGGGCACGCGCTCACAACTGGCTCATCCCGTGCTCAGCGGGTGGGTCGCCGGTGATGAAGAGGCGTGGAAAACCAAGATGACGTTCCTCAAGGATTTCGAGGCTGGCGAAACGGTGTTCAATGTTATGGGTGAAGACTTTGATGAGCTTAATGTGACGTGGATCTTGGATCTGAGGGAGATGTTCGCCGATGGATATAGTGCTCGTGAGGAACATCCAAGGGCGAATGGCCGTTGTGCACTGGGAAAGTCCTTGTGTGTCAGGAATTCGCGCATCAAGCGTTTGGATACGGTATTTGACGAGAAGACGCTGGGTGGGCATGTTACTTTCGAGAAGTTTATGGCCATTCTCAAAGGGTAACTACATCTCTATATCTCTGCATTTCTATTCGAGTTCGCATATTTTACGTATACTTTGTTCATATTTCTAATTTTACCTTCACCTTTCAGAGAGGAGTTGATGCACAACGAGCTGTTGACTTCTCCGGTACCGACCTTGACGACCGTGATTGGTCCTTGAAAAAGAATGTTTCATCACATCAGACAGAACACAGATTTGCATGTCTCAGAATTCAATCGCGATAGCTGGGCCTTTTCAAAGGACAGAACTCCCAAGGAATACTGGATGTACAGTTGTAGAAATGAAAGCTCGGAGCACAATGAAACTGACTTTTCGTGCATTGTAGAACGCAACCAGAAGCAGCCACTTTTGATGATCACTGATCATCATTGGAAGGATCAGGGACGACGCCTTTGGTCAGTTCTTTCCCCCATTGGGTCAGGCAGAACCACGACAGCATTCTTTTGGTTTCGTTTTCTGACGTACGGCTACCCTTTCCGCGTTCTTCTCTGGATAAATATGCGGTACCAATATAATATGACTCTTCGTTGGACTATCTCTGTCAGCACCCCTTCTTTCTTCACCCCCACGACCATCTTCAAGCAGAATGGACGACAGAAAAATCTTCATCTTAGACGATGACGACTACAATCCTGGCACCAACATTGACGTGCGTAATTTTCTGACTGCTAACGGCACCTGGCTGTCAGTAACCTTGCTGCCCCAGGTAAAAGGTATCGGTGAGATTTTAGATCTTAGTTCAGACGACGACGTTCTGTCTACCAAAGTCGTTTGTCTCTGCCGCCTCCCATATGGGAAACATGATCACCCATAATGCGCAGATCGGAAATGTTTTCAACCGGAATGGTCCTGAAGATGTAGAGGTATGGATTACACCTAGCTGCGACATCGAGTTGCTGGTTCGATTTTGCTGTGCTAGACAAAAAATGAACCATTGAAGCGAGAGGCAATCGATCTCACCATAAACGATGAGCATGCTCCATTAAATGTACGTGGACCCTGCGCACTGTCCTCCATTGTCTTATTTTAAATCTGCAGTTCAAGAAACCCATGAAGCAAGAGTCAATTGATTTGACAGGGTTAGACTCCGAGTCGGAGTCGGATGACGACGCGTCTAGATCTGCATGTCAAGTACTTATATATTCCCCTTCGTTTATGGATTATTCATTAACCTTAATTTCCACGCACTAGAACATCTTCACGTCGCGGAACAATGACAACGCCCTTGCTAATTCAACTGTGCGTTGACTTTGAGTGCACGCCCGCGTGTTTAATTTTGATTTTGACTTATCAGACCGCTGTCGACGTCACGCATCTCTTTGATTTTTCGTCGGCAAACTTCATGCCAGGACCCGCGTATATGGAAGATGAAGGTAACGATGCTACCAACTGGAGTCTTTCGGGGATATTCCGCAGTCCTCTCCACTCGCCTCTCCCGCAAACACCAACCCTTACTGAGTACTCACTTCGTCCTCGCCCCAGTCCCTCGCAGCATAATACCCTGTCCTACGCTGACTCCCCAAAGGCCAAACGCAGCAAGCGAGCGAATAAAGAAAATCATGGTAGCGGAGAAGAAAACCCGGGGTGGAGGCAAGCTTATCTCGAGCTCCTGAAGAAGTACACTTGTCTTCAGAGAGAACGCGACATGCTCAAGGAGTCTCATGAGCGCATCCGGATGGAGAAGAGAGTCGAGGGGGGAGAAGGGTCATTAAGGTCACCTTCTCCCCCGACGCATGTAAGCATGACATTGAGGGATGTATCTGTTCTGGGTGGTACTAATCACGCGAATCATCAGCCAAGCTCAGAGCTTGGACATGTGTCCAACATCTACCGTTTGCTCTGTTGAACATCTCTTTACCAGATATTTCTACACGTACATATTTTTAATCTACAAGTTTAACGACGTAACGGAATAGTATTGTATGTCATGGTGCAGCAGTAGTCATACTGTCGGGATGCCGGGTTCGTGTGCTGCCATATATTACCGCGAATTCTAGAATAGAGTATAGGTAACCACAAAGACGAACGGAAAACAGGTGCGCACCTGTATCCGGCCTTCATCCTCATCATGCAAAAGATCTCTCGGAAATTTCGGCATGCGTTTGCAAACTCTTGATTTTGAAGGCGCGGAGTCACTCTCTTCGACCTCACCGGCGGTATGAGAGTTTGCTGGTGAAGACGGCGGCAGAGAAGGGGACGAGGGAGGGTAGGAAGGAACCCGGTGTCTCTGTGCCGCGTCTGAAAGAGCGGCCGCATTTCCAGACCGCTCCATGTGTGTCACAGGTAACAGAACATGTCCGGGTGCTTGGTTCTACGTCAACCCCAACCACGGAATAAATGAGAATATATCCACTGGTAGTCAAAATTCTACGACGCACGATATATGGATTGGGCACGTTCAAATACCTCAACTCTTGTCTGAGGTCATGATTCTCCATCTCGAGAAGACGGCACTTCTTTTCGAGGTCAGCGATGTACTGTGCTCTGCGAGCACGGTAGTCGCGCTGCTGAGCCAACGAGCGGGTTATTGGGATGGTGGGGTCCTTCTTGCGTCCGCGAGTCATCATGGGTTTGGGGAAAAGTAGAGGACCGTCTTAACGGGAAAGAAAGCCATCATTTGACACAAGACCAGAGTGTTCAATTGCCAGGGTGAATTTGAAGCACTCAACGCGGATCGGTACTTGGAGACTAAGGGACACTATGGCCTGGAATCCGACTGAGCGAGACTATTCGGGTGTCAAGGAGCACAGATTCCATGGATGAGTATTCTACCTGCATGAAAAGCCAAAGCGCGGCGCTGACAGGGTATCGAGGAAAGAAGGTGCTCAAGAACGAACAGCGACCTTTCTAAATCCCCACTGACTTTGGTCGTAGCAGGCGCCGAGGCCCGCGGTAGTCCATCAAACCCACACCATATCCTAGATGGTCCGTCAATTGTAAGGGTATAAGCAATTCCATATAGCCTACGTAACGGGAAAACAAGATCGTCATTGACAACGATCTTCATTTTGGCAATATCTTGTCTGCATTGGGCAACCCGAATGGCACCAAGTTATACAAGCACGAAGACAACGGTCCATGACTTTGAATTCCTCGGTATCGACAGCTTGGATGCTTGCTTCGTGCAATGGATAGCGGGACGCAAGGGTTTCACAGGCTGTGATGCCGGGATGTCCTTCGGCGTTTAGATCCCGTCAGTTGGATACAGTGTAATATTACCTGCGTACAAGGTTCCCAAGTCTTTTTGATTGAGTGATACATAACTTGAAGGACTTAGGGAAAAATTGTCGGCGAGACCGATTGATGTAGTCTCTCGTAGACAGACGACGATACAGACCTGTTGATATGAGGGAGGGACGATCCAGTGTATGCCGATTGATGGTCGTACGCATACGAACTCCATCAGCAGCCCTCAGTGCCATTGAAATTCCGTCATACCGTACAGTTACCCCGCAAAAAAAAAACCAGTATATTGCGCTTCCCCTTCAAACTCTATAATTCGGAGGTCACCTCCCACCGTCTGAGGTCGTCAAATCCGATCGGCTTGGATGCGGATACACTGATCTCTTCGACGAGTGTGTTGAAAGCTTTGGGTTAGCGGTAGACAAATGGTCGCCGTTCTTATGTAAGAAGAAATTCAGCCGCTGAAATCATGACGTGAGCTTGTTACAGCTCACCTGAATAGTTGCGGTGCCGGTATATCTCGAGCGGCGGCGCCTACGTTGTACAAAGGACCATCCGCTTTGAAAGGAAGTTGGTCGGTCGGCAAAGAAATGGCAGCTGCGAGAGCTTCGACGTAGGGGTCGCGTCCCCACGAGTTAACAATGAACTGAGAAACATAACATGAGTGACAAGATAGAGGCAACAATTGATTCTGAGTCATACCCTGCTGACACCGCTCTTCACACACTCCCCGAATAGCTCATCAGGAATCTCATTGTTGCCGTGCAAGCAAAGAGGAACGCCACGACCGTTGAAGGTCGCCGGGTGCTTCAACGACAATACTACGACGCCATCGATGGTTGCTGTCTGTACCTATGGGAGCCGAGCTGAAGATGGGAGTGTTTGAGTCGTGTCCAGATTGATGACAGTAATTGTCGTGAGCTCGGTTTGGGAGTTGACTAGAGGGTAGTGAGGATTTAATAGGTTTCATAGTGCAGTCACCTGTATCCTTGCGTCCGGAGTCCCAGAAGGTGCCGTGCTGTGTAATGATGGGATGTGATGTGATATGAATGCGAGGGGAATGTTTCGCTTCAGGGAATACCGGTATTTTCAACCATTGTAAAAATGGGCAAAAAGCCCAGTTCGTCGGCCCTGGATGGATATCTGGGAGTGGACAACCGTCAGCGGCATGGAAGAGGGTTGTGTCTGACTTACAGATGCACTGTTCTGCAAGGACACGATATCCGTTGACCAAAGCTCGCCCATATGCATCCCTCCCACACTTGCCTGTTAAACCTGAGATGACCGCAAGCGCAACATGGTTCTCTACAGTGCCCTTTCGGTCCTTCTATTCCCTCCAAACTGGTCAATATTCCTCTGACCACTGCACTCGCAGCAATCCTAACCGCGTCATTTGTCGAAAATAGCAGGTGTTCTGCGGCAAGAATTGGGGCATATATCTTCTCCACGACCCACGGAAGGGGTTGAAGTGAACAGACCTCCGGGTGGAGTGAGCCTGAAGACTGGAAAGAGGGATGGAAAAGAGCGCCGCAGGAGACAATGCAGAACGGATGAACTGAAGCCTTGTCGATTCCTAAATCTAAACATTTTCTAGCAGCAGGCCATGAGACAGGCCCTTCACGGAGTATACGAGCGTTATAGGCAATCTTCAAAAATAATAGACAGACATACTTTTTTGGTTCATCGACGATCCCGAAGGCTACTCTGCACTGTTCTCCATTAAGGTACTACGCCACAGTCATCCACTTCTTCATTCACACCAACAGATATAAGATTGGTCAAAGAGAAGCGAACGAAGCGAATATAGATTTGATTACGCCTGAGTAGTCCTGCGGGTGCCGGGTCCGGGGCCACCAACGATACGTATGATTGCGGGAAGATATAGGACTTTTAGAAGACATTCTAGAGTTGCTGGCAAAGTCCTAGACATCCGAATGCTGGAAAGAGGCCATTAAAGAAGGTGAGGTGGTGTTGCTACCCGGGGTCGCGTCATCCTGTACTCCTACCATCACCATCGTCGCGGAAAGAAGGAATTTCTGCTCAGCTTCGAGAGCAATATTGGGCCTTTCTGACTCTGTTCGAAGGAGGTAAGTTCTTGCTCTGCGCTGTGCCGATGATGCCTGCTTGGATCCAGTCATACTGACTTTGTTTTTCCTCATGCTCTACAGTGATTCATGTTCTCGTGTCAGGATCCCGCCATAATACAATACGATACGGATCTGTGCCAATGCGAACTTAAATTATCCTGATTGTGACAGTGAAAACATGTGCGACCGTGTCGTGTGCTAGTGACAGTGAACGCACAGGGTCGGCTTGAAGACGAAGAGATCCGTGTACCACACTTGCAGCTTCGCACGATAACTCTTGGCCCGGTGTTACAATCTTACATTTGTGTTCGAAGTTGTCTCGACGCCAAGTGAGCTCAATGGCCATGCCGTCCGTTTGCTTCGCTCATCAACAGCTGTACTGAATCACGATTCATATTGGAGCGGATCGATAACTCTTAACAAGACTTGAGCTTGGGCTGAATTTGGACCTTGGTTTGTGATACCATTGGTAGATGGGTGTCCCTGGAGCGGGTGTAACTCTATGTGGCATCTGATACATTAGAAGACGCCCAGGCGAACCATGCCCTTCCGTGGGAATGACTGCTAGCATCGGAAAGAGGGAGTTTACTGCACGTAGGATTGGGCCAAGCCTACGTGAACTTCTGAAATGGAACAGGAGCACGGCGACCCTTTACAGGTACTCCAATAATATGCACCAAAAACCTGGTCGGTTCGGTCAAGAGTGTATTGAGTCAGTGAGTAAGAATACTTCTGGTTGGTAAGATACTCAGTCATAATCAATCAACAGATCCTTCCGAGTCCGTTGATTCTTGATCCTGTGCAAGCAGGGACATCACTGTCGACCAATTGGCTGCTTCATCGCTTCGAATATGATCGGAAGGCATCTGTGCCCGGCCGTGGCTACCCAGACAAGCATGTCACTATTGCTCATTACATCTGTGATGAAGATGTGATCATGTGATCACACTGGGTGGACTGCCTAGCTTCCTGTAGTTTTTTTTCTCTATTCACGCCATGTTCGCTCTGACGAGGTATTATGACTAGGAGAGCGCTCTAGCTACAGGGTCCTAGAAGTGCAGTTGTTGTTACCATGTGGCTTTTAAATTTCACGCTTCATTCAAGGTGTTCAAACGTGAGTCATAAAGTGTTATATCTAAAAGAACGCTCAAGCAGACACCATGCAGCTTGTCCATCCTTATCATTTGCACTGTCCTCAATGACAGATCAGCACGGCCTTTTCAATTTTCGAATCACCAAGCTCAGAGTATACGATCTGTGTTTAACCATCATAACATATAAAGTGGACCTCCGCTACCGCTGCGTCGGCGTCCACTTGGTCACGAGGTGGTTATTATGTCTTCCATCAGTTTATCTGAGGTAGAGCTTCGCGCATGGCTTGACGCAGCTCTCAATTCCTTCCTTTTCGAGTTTTATGCCCATGGCAAGTCATCGAATTCCTGTATTTCTGGCATGCTGTAACTGAGAACCAGGTGTCTATACCGGGATATACGCCATATCCATACGAGTGTTAGGTATGCGACATTTCCTCACTCAGGATGTCCCTTCCGCTTTTTTTTCTGACTAGGCATTAGCCAAAAATGCCATCTCTAGAACACGCATGTGTATGTGCTGCGTCAGTACAATCTTGTACATTCTCTGTACGATTCAGTTCGCCGCGTTCTGGGTTGAATTGCGCACGGCCTTTGTGTACGGGACATCTTTGCAGTCGCAGTATGATATGATGCCTAACGGCGTTCCCGAGTATTTGAGGATCCTGAGGTCTGTAGGTTCTTCTCTGAATATCGTCATCGCGGACTGTATCATCGTGCGTTTCTGCTCCCTGTAGTTCTGCAATATTTTCTCACCTCTACCCTTAAGATTTGGCGCTGTTGGGTTGTTTGGGAATATGACTGGAAGGTAACGGCCTTGCCACTTTTATTAACCGCAAGCGGGATATGTAAGTCTGCATAACCGTATCATGAAAGCACCTCCCGACTTACTTTCATGCAGTCTGCGGCATCGAGCTTGATATTCACCAATACAGAGTGTCGTTGATTGACGACGTTCAGAAGAAATGGGCAGTGGCTACCATCACTATGACATTGGTAGTCAATGTTCTGTGCACCGTACTCATCATCGCCCGTATCGTCTTGGTTATCGGGAAACAGCGTGGTGTCTTTAGAAGCATTCGGGATTACCGCAGTATCATTGAGATTCTCGTGGAATCAGCTGCATTATACACTCTCAGCTATATGGTGCTCGCGGCATTATATCCTTTGAATCGTGTTGAGTCTCAGTACCCCGAAATGTTGGTTTATCCCATCACGGTATGTGGTTTCATTTCAGTTCGTTGTTGTTTTTTTATAGACACGTGCTCAGGGTATCGCGCCTACCTTGCTCATGGCGCGAGTTGCTTCTGGTCAAGCTCATCCCGAAGAATCTGCGTATGGAATACAATCTTCTTTGCACTTTCAGATGGCTTCCAGTGCGAGTAGCACCGCAACGGCTATCGATGGATTCCAGGAAGATATGATTGACGACAGTTTCGCCGCTGGGGAATATTCATCAATTATAGGGCGAGAGACATACCGCACCGTCGAAGAAGTTTGACGACAGACAAACTGGGCATACGCTTTTTTCTTAGCGGGGCTAACTATCAGATTACTTGTTGGTATCCGGAGCTCACTCGCATATACCACATAAAAGTTATTATGTTTTATTCCTGCTACGTTGATAGAGGGTGGACAGTTTACGAGTTTTTGACAGCTGGGCCCTGGACGAGCCGCATGTAATCAAACTTTCTACCTACCCATTGATGTCAATGCAGTCAGAGCAGTGACTGGGGTGATCCCAACCGTTTCATTTATGTTTAGCGCGGGATGCTAGGAAAGAAACCGATTCGACATCGCAGTAAAGACTATATAACTCTGGGCACATATGATTTCTCATTTCAGGTCCGTGGCCATCATCGCGGGAACTATACCGCCTCCCGGCTGTACAAGAGTAGGCCACAAAAGGTCGACTTTCAGGGAAATATAAGCTGGATATATTTCTGGAAGGAAAGGCTGGTATTGAATTAGAGGGTTTGCCGTGGATGCTGAGCATGACCCAGACCATGCCGTATCGCTTTATCGCTGCATAGTGCGGTCCAGAAACATCAGTGTATCTCTGCAGGCCGCCATATGCAGCTCATACCTGAGCGGTGAAGGAAGACGAACAGAAGTTTTTCCTTTTCGTGGTTTCTTCTGGTGTTTGGACTGAGGGAAAAGATACGGGTGACTTCTCCGCAGAGCCTCTGAGTCTCTTAGGTTTCAGGCAGACGCGTCGCTAGTGAATGCCATATGGTAGGGGAATCAAACCAACAAAGGGACGTGACTCGTTTGATTTAGTCGCTACCGACGGCACCGTTATTTACGTCTTCAAGATCATTTATTTTGGGGTTTTATAGAAATAAGGGCATGGGAGTCAGGGAAAGTTGGTTACCATTTTAGCCAATGCCAGGTACTACTGCTTCAAGTTCTACATTCCCGTCACAAGCTGAAAATTTGGAACTGCGTCAGTGCGGGAAAGAAATTCAATAAACGAGACCCAACTTCAACGGTCGTCTATTAACGTCCCGACAGGGACACGCGATTGTATTCCTTCTCCGCCGTAGATATGGTGATTAATGATGGGCACGCAGTCATTATCTTCTCCGCACACAACAGAGAGTATTCAGGCTCATTCCAGAAGTGAAGATCCTGCACATTGGGAAAACGCGCAACGGCTTCTGCGAGTTGAAACGCGGGTATCGATATGAGATCAGCGATGCAAAGCGTTGTAATGTTGACTAAGCGTTGCTCCGCTCGCTGGAGCCCGTACGAGTCGGGGAACACAAAGTCCGCCCATACGGTGCCAGTGGAGATGAGATGCCCGAGCCAGATAGTCAAGCTATAGGCATTGGGTAGCTGAGAGACAAACAAGAGCGCTTCTTGGTGATTATGAACAAACTGTTCTGCATCCATCGACATTAGATATGCTTCTAAGCGTATATCCCTTACGGCGGACAAAAGCTGTGGCGAGAGGAGCGTTAAGACCTCCGGAGGAGCACAAATTTGGGATAGTTTTGGAAGGGATTGGATGTGGATCTGCTCTGTCAAAGGCAGGAGTTCCACGCTTGCATGAATGGTGATATGTTTAATAGAGGTGTGGCGCAACAGGAACAGGTAGAGGTCATCGGTGCTGATACGTCCTCGTTGGAAGATCAGTTCACGTAGGCGAGGAAGTGTCAGTTTTGTAAGAGTTGACGCGGCGTCACAGACTGTCATCATCCTGACAGACGACTGGTTTATTGATCGAACTAACCAATCAGCGAGGTGCTTGGGCTGCGGATACAGCGTAACTGTACCCAACGAGGTAAGCGGCGGCGGATGGAAGCCAACGAATGGCACGCTTTCTACCTCCGGCTCTTGTTGGAGGTCCACGAATGGAGTCAAATCTCGACAATTTAACTGCTGTAGATCTCGAAAGAAGGCCTCAAGCTCTGCGGGAGGCATCGATTTTACGGTATGAGGGCATACATCTGACAAATCGACAGAGACTTCGGGGGGATCGATTTCAATGGAATCAAGATAGCGAAGGACCTCCCGTATCTCCTCTGCAGCGTTGTCAGAGAAATGACAGTCGATGAAGGAGAACGCCGGCTTGAAAAAACAAAGGCGTAACTTCCTGAAAAAAGTATAGGGAAGGAAGCACGATCCAAATATAAGGAACCTCTCTTCCAAGTCGGAATCCAAGTGATAGGATAAAGAGACGTCATTGAGACGTCGACAGACGCATGCGAGAGAGATGATGTCTGCGTCGTCCGTAAAATATCCAAGTATTATTAATAACAGCTCTGGAAGAGCAAGAAGATGGGCGCTTTTTTCTGCGATGCCCGAGCTTGTTCGCTGTCCTTCCCGAGGACTCGACATGGTGATGCTACCCTCTAGGGCTTAGTAGTTGCGACATACAAGGGAGAGGTGGCCTCATACGTGGACTCTGAATTTTGTGGTAGTTCAAGACTGTATCTGCGCCCGTCCAACGATTGTGTCGATGGGTGTCGAGTCAGGACCGGCAGCGGCGGCACAATGTCGGCCCAAACCTGATCGATGAACGACAATCGGGACTCGGAAGACTATCCACCACCACCATCTTGCAGTGATCTCAGTCTGCTGCTGGATGCCATGAATACGAATATCAACTTTTGCTCTGTTCCCCTGACTTCCCTGGCTGGAAGAGACAGTCAGATACTGCCGTACTGGACAGGAACCTTTCGGGTGCGCCACTCATGGTCTCCGTTTAGCATATCTAACGCCGTAACATCATTCTTCAATCTATTGAATTGAGCGCGTGGTTATGTATTCCGGAGCTTCGAGCTACAATCGTGCAGGAGCGGCCAAAGCACTCCATGAGAACTAACCTAATTACAAGGCGTATACTCATATCCACCAGCCATGGCCACCAACGAACGGTCCACTTCCAGTCGCAGAAAGGAAGAGGAGGCGACTGAAGATGTGTACAACCGGGGTACTATTGATCCGATATATCAACGCAAGGCCCATATTCTCAACGATGCGATTCAGGGTATTGGAATGGGGAAATACCAGGTATCTTGTCTGAAACTTCCTCTCCTTTGATTGCTGATATATATGCGTCTGTTCAGTGGGCTCTGTTCGTGGTGACTGGATTTGGCTGGCTTGCGTGAGTTTATGTCCTTTTCGCCGATATGAATATAATTTGATAACGTCGATAGAGACAATCTATGGCCGGTATGCTGCTCTCATCGTCATTCGGGTCAACACGCCAAAAAAAAGCTTCATTAACAGATTGTAACCGGACTCATCCTACCACCAGTCGTACAAGAGTTCCAGTTTCAAGGGCCTTTCCTCAATCTTGGACAGAGTATTGGTCTTCTTGTTGGCGCAGTGTTCTGGGGCGTAGGTTCAGATATCTGGGGACGCAGGTCAGAATATCGTTATCTTCTACTCTTCATGCTCCCAATCGTGCCAACCAGAATTTCCTTCAATATAACTTTGCTTATCACGGGTGTCTTTGGGCTTGCAGCTGGAGATTCACCAAATTATATCGCCTTGTCATCATTCGCCGCGGTATGGTGCATTGGCGTTGGAGGCAATCTTCCTGTCGATTCCGCCATATTTTTGGGTGCGTTTCTTGCCGATATGAGACCTTATGCTTAATAAATGTCGGTAGAATTTCTTCCAAAGTCTCATCAGTATCTCCTCACCGTCCTTTCTATATGGTGGGCGTTTGGTCAGCTGCTTGGAAGCTTGGTATGTTGGATATTCGGCTCCACGTTTCCACGTAATGACCGCCGGTCGCATAGGTCGCCTGGCTTCTGATCGGTAACTATTCGTGCGAGACCAACCAGGTTCCCTGTCCACGCTCCGCAAACCAAGGATGGCGTTATTTTCTATTCGCAATGGGAGGATTGATGATGTTGCTTTGGGGAGTCCGATTTTTCATCTTCAAGCTTTACGAAAGTCCCAAGTATCTAATGGGGCGGGGAAGAGACGCTGAGGCTGTGGAGGCTGTGCATAAGGTCGCCAGGTATAACGGGAAAGAAAGCAATTTGACGATTGAAGATCTGAGAAAGGCAGGCGAAGAGAAAGAGAATCCAGATGTGGAGCCGATGGTTATGGATACTTCCGTGAAAGCGGTTGTTCGAAGGAACTTGAGTGAGCTCAGCGGGGATCATGTTCGTCCGCTATTTGCCAATGCGAAATTGGCCTGGTCGACTAGTCTGATCATTACCTTGTGGGGTGGGTTTTTCTTTTCGTGCTCTTATGCCTATCTGAAGCAGTGTCCCATAGCACTAATTGGACTTGCCTTTCCTCTGTATGCATCCCTTCCTTTTTCTTAGATTATCGCTGACATGAAAAAGGTATAACGCATTTGTGACTTACTAGTGAGCTATTCCTTCCTTCTAATTTCGCATCATTCATTGTATTGTTTCTCAGTTTGTCTACCCGAGATGCCGATTTCGGTGATGGCTCCGTGTACATCACCTATCGCAACGCAAGTACCTTTTTCCCTTCTCCGAGTTCTTTAGTAATAATACCAATCTACCAGCAAACAATCTTAAGTGTAATCGGAGTACCTGGGGCACTACTGGCAGGATACCTCGTCGATCTCCCTTTTCTAGGCCGTCGTGGTACATTGGCAATATCGACAGGTTGTTCGGCGTTGTCTTTCTCTCTGATTTGAGGCTCGCTAACCCGCTCCTTAGTCCTTACCGGCGTGTTCATCCTCGCGTCGACCACCGCACGGACCTCTGATGCCTTGCTCGGTTGGAACTGCGCGTATAGTTTTATGAGTAACGTCATGTACGGCGTTCTGTATGCCCTCACACCCGAGCTGTTCCCTACCAAAGATCGCGGTACGGGGAACGCGCTCGCGGCTGCAGCCAATAGGATCTTTGGTGTGATGGTCAGTCGGACTTGATCCTTAATCTTTTTCATATCTATGAATATTGGCAGGCCCCGATTATCGCTTTGTATGCGAACTTGACGACATCAGTGCCGATGTTTGTTTCGGGAGCTCTGTTTTTGGTAGCGGGGATGATAGCGCTGCTGTTACCGTTTGAGTCGAGGGGGAAGGCTGCACTGTAAGCCTACGAGGTTAATCACGTTTTGATGCCATGCTGGGAAGAGATACTACGTAAGCACGAAACGATTGTCCGTTCCTCCCGATACTTATGTCTTGCATTTTTTTAGACTGGCTTGGCAATATGCTAGGTGATGATATAAATCAATTTATTGTATGGCCAAGTTCGGGATCTCGCTTCTCTAAGTTATCGTCAATCATCAGCGTTAAGCATGGTTCGGGCAGGGTACAGCATCTCCAGCTGATGCTTGCGATTGACTGCATGAAGCACGTTCAGATGCTTAGATATTAAAGGGTTCGATGACAGGATTCTTTCTCCGTTGCATAAGTGCGTGCTCTTAGCTCTAATGTCGCGTATCTGCTACTAGTAAAACTCTGATAAACAAAAAAAGATGTTCTCGATGGGGCTGCGATATCGCTGGAGATGTATATCTTTAATGTATCTTACTATCCTGGGAGAATCCTCCGCTGAAAACCTGAACGGGCTCCATCAACTAGATCCTGGACTGTGGTACATCTGATAAATATTGCTCGGTTTCATACTGTATACAAACTTCGCAATAGTCCGAAGTAGCGATCATCTGGCTTACCGCGGCTGTTGCGTGGAAAAATCCGCCTAATTGGGATGTCGTCGTAAGAGGAATATTCTGGCTGTCACGCTTTCTTTTGCTTTCTCTAGAAGCCGTCTCGCATTCGTCGCCAAAAGTTGATTCTACTGCATCTTCTAAGTGATGCTGCTTCTAGCGAGTATGACTGAAGTATAGCATCTCGACCGTTACTGACGGTTCTGAAGTCTGCCACTCATTGAAAAGTCATGATTGCCACTCGCTGAAGGAGAGCCAAAGAACCAAATCTACGTTTGAAAAAGTGGTTAGAAGGAAGAGAAAGAGAATATAGGAGGATCTGTAAACTTCGTGCGTTGTATTGCCTGCGATTTTCTGTCCGTGTTTTTCATGCTACCTTTCATCAGAATCAGATTTACGCACCACTGTCATCACACCGCAGGCAGGGCTGGAGGCGTACTCTTTGGCTTTTGTACCTCCTCGTAACTGCGTCGATGAAGCCGTAGAAATCATCCGGACATTTCGAACCGGCGCCGTCGTTGCGGACGCCCACTTAATAATCTCAGCACAATGACTGGACTTCGATCTCGCGCATATGGCTGGAATATTATTCCGCAAATGTATGCCCGGCTATAAGGAGTGAAAGGAGGGAGGGACTGAGTATAGATGGGTATAGTGCCATAATTTCAAGGTGAATCGTCCTTCTATGTCAGTCCGGTGTCTATATCCTTACTGTGATTTTAGATTTGATTATTCTGCAGATATCGGTATCCTCAAATGTCCAGATTATATTAACTATATGAGAATGTGGTATGCCATGTTTCCAGGCTAAGCCAAGGAGTGCTGTGTACCCTTGTGGACGGACCTTCGTTGTCAAGCGGGCTCTGAATTCAATGTACCGCAGATCGTTAAGAACGTCCCGCGGCATTGATGGAACAAAGGTTCTTCTTTGTTACTGTGCCTTTCCTTTGTCCTAATCCTTTGTTTTGTAAAGTACAACAACATTATCAAATTTGCAGGCGGAAAGCAGCGTGCTGGTTATAAAGAGCTATCCACTGATGTCCTTCATCCATCATCACCCCTTCATGAAGCAAAACTCCCCCACCACTGCAGCAATCAAACGGGAGCGCAAGTCAACGACTCAAGATTCCACTCCTGTCCCTCTTGTGAATGCCGATACAACATCGCTGGCAGATCTACTTGCAGGCGCCGGACTCGACACCCATGCCCACACCGCGGAGCCTAGCAGCGCTGTCACTGAATATGCCGGTACGTTCCTATGCCTTACGCTAGTTGGAGTCTAACAAACGTGATATCTGTAGGAAAACCAAAAGGCTACAAGGGTATGAACTATCACCATACCTCAAGGCAGACAATGGCGAACCAGACTGTCCATCCAGATGACCAGACAGTCATAACATCGCAGCCCATGCCAGGCGAAAGCGACACCCTTGCCACTTTCCCTGATGGCTGGGCGGAGTGTGTGCTCACAGGCTACGTGAAGAAGCAGATCCTGGCTACGCCTGGGTTTCCCTGTCCGATTGAGCGTACGAAGGAGCCGGTGTTCCATATTTCTTCGACACCAGACAGAGGCCTGGGGATGTTCGCTGTGAAGAGAATGAAAATGGGGGATCTCGTACTGGACGAGAGGCCGATGATGGTGACGCCCGCACTAGCAAATCCTAGCAACATAACCTTTCCCGAGAGCTTTACCGAGAAGGAGGTCTATCAAGCTGCCATATACGAGTACGAGAAGACACTTCGATTTTGTTTCCGTCGTATGCCGAAGGAAAACCAACAGGCATTCATGGGACTATCTAACTGCCATCAGCACGACGGAAGCGGCATATTATTCGGTATTATCAGAACGAATGGGTATAGAATTGAGGAGCTAAAGGATAATAGTAAGGTCTTCCTTTTTTCTGCGATCGCAGCCCGTTGATTCGTCTAAAAGATGCCCAAGAGTCTTTTGGGATTTATACTGCTGTTTGGGATAAGCTTTCCCGTTTAAATCATAGGTGAACCCTCTTCATCAGTCACGCAAAAACCCTGATCTTACTTCTTCGGCCCAGTTGTTCCCCCAACATCTGTCGTAAATGGAACATGGCCTCTTTCTCTATGCAGATCCGCGCCGCGCGCGACATCGAGGAAGGTGAAGAGCTCACAACAGCATACTGTGGCATTCTCGATCCTGCTGCAACGCGTCAGACCGATCTTGCACCGTACGACTTTAAATGTAGGTGTGCGGCGTGTTTGGACCCATCAAAGTCCGATGTGAGACGAGGGGGTTTCAGTCGTTCGCCAGTGCTCATCCCGCCATTCATAGGCAAGGGGAAAGGAAAAGGGGATTGGCTCGATCCTGCGTTGAAACTACTCGCAGAGATGGAAGAGGAAGGTGTGCAGGCTAGCTTGTTTTACAAGACGACGCTGCAGCAACTGGTGCATGCCTGTATCTATATGGGAGACAAGGACAGGGTGCTCCTGTATGGACGAAAGTTGGATGCGATTTCGAGAGCGAGGGGGGACAGTATGGATCCTAGTTTCACGAGTCTGAAGAAACTGAAAAGACTGTCGCAGTGGGGGATGGGGAGAAGACAGGCTGGACAACAGGTCTATCGCTGATAGTTTTCCTTGCAATAGGGTCTGCGCTGCGATAGCTTCTGACGGCATTTCGCTACCTGTGTTAGTTACCTTTCAATGCTAGGCTTGCGTATCTCGTGCCATTTTGTTCTCCTAACTCTGTTTTTAATCAAGAAATGATCATCCCCGATATCGAAGGGCCAGAGCGACATACATTTCTTCTGCCTCTTGCGGACTCGGGATATACTAGAGAGATGATATGTAGATTGTGCTGGTAGTCCATGACTGCAGTTCGCAGTACCTTTGCTTCTAGCTCAAACCGGATTTCATTTACTACCTTCGTCCGGCCAATATAGCCTGTTCGTTCAACAGCTGGCAGTTGCTTTCCGATAGTCTATTATTCCGCAACGTCTTCATCTGCGGTTTCACCGGTGACAGCTTTGAACCTTCTGGCGACCGTTCGAGCCTTCGTGTTGGTTCGACATATACTGACTCATACCGCTCCTTGTTCGACGTCCCGGCACTTTGAGACATCTCCATGCCTACGTAATCCTCTTGCTGTCGCGCCGAGCTCCCGATCTAGTCAGCGCGGAGTCCTCTATTCGCTATACGGGCATGTCCTTCCTTGTCAATTGTCGCACTCGGTATTAGGTAACGCACGCTGGATTAACCTGGTCTTCGTTGTATTGCTTTTCCAGAACTCCCTCCTGTTGCAAGCACGTGCTTTGTACAATTTTCATAGACAAAGGCAGACCGACACTTAATCAAATTCAAAGGAGATTTGGAGTGAGGGGTGGGGGGGAGATGATGCTGGACTATGTCCATCTCCCCAAAAAATAGCTCGCATCTCTGTAGTGCATTGCTATTTGGAGAAGTACGAAAACTATGCCGCTTCCTCCATGTTGGAAATGGACAAGCAGAAGAAATGTTGGTCATCGTAGATATGCGTCGCGATCTAAAGAATTGCAAGTTCCTGACCTCGTCGGGTAGCCCCAGATACGGACCACACGGCATACTTTGCTTTACAATATAAAAGAACTTGCAGAAAGAGTATGAACATCTCGCTGTTCTGAGGCAGAAAACATGTTTATGGAGGTGGGTACTGTTTAAATACACGTTTTCCACAATAAAGTATGCACATTTCCCGCTAGATACCATGAAATATTTATATTCATCGCCAAGATGAAATACTGAGCTGAACAGACCTTGGCGCTTTACTTAAATTAAAAATTTGCGTGAGACCGTGAGAATTCCAGACATTTCACCAACGGATAAAAAGGCGCGACACTTCGTATCTGGGCTACGGAATACTCCGCACATCTCAGTATATCAACATGCTTTCTCTCAAATATCCAGTTCTCGCTGTTATAGCTTTGTCCATTGGCACGGTCAACGCCATCATCGGTGATGGTACATATTCCTTCCTTTAGAGTCTCTAATGTGCCATTGACAATACCTCAATGGTAGCCACCTGGTACACTCCCAATGGCGACTACGGGGCATGTGGTGCGCCCTTACAGAACTCTGATTACATCGTCGCGCTCGCCAGCAACCAGTACGCTGGAGGAGCGCGCTGCTGGAAGCATATCAGCGCATCCTGTAAGATTTCTCTCTTAGGTCTGGTTGATGATCAATAGCAGATTGAATTCTGCTTCAGACAGAGGCAATTTCGTAAACGCCACTGTTGGCGATCTCTGCCCTGGATGCCGTAACAACCAGATTGATCTCTCATCGACCGCGTTCAAAAAACTCGCTCATCTTGATATTGGACTGCTTCATCACGTGACCTGGTACTACTATGACTAGATGGGTCTGACAAGAGTGCTATTTCTTTTTCTGGTAGTCCAATTTGTGTTCCAAAGTAGTGGTTCTTATGCTACATCATTTCTAAAAATGATTTTATGCATCAAACTGGCTGAAATGAGAATGCTGATGATATACTATGGAATACAAGACTGGTATGCTCTAGTTATACACTGGTTATAGCAATACTGGGTATTTACATATATTTGTTCTCATTATATAAGGTACTATGACCTCAGAGACAATGTCTGAGACAGATAAGGCAAATTCAATTTTTATTATTTACAAAACAAGTGACTTTTGTTTTACTTTTAAAAATCAGAAATTAACTATCTTAACTGGAATTATCAAAATTTGTTGACTCTGTGGAAGCCTTTTTAAGGTGCCAATACAAATATATATAAACAATTAATGATTGAAGTTGTTTATTTTTTGTTGAACACCTTATTTAAGATGATAACCAGATGAGAATTATTTTACAGACACTTGATATAGTATCAGCCTTATTCTCTAAGCTATAGTTATGATTTTCTTGCTTATCTTATCTTATCTTTTATCATTATCTAATCTATTTATCTTATCAGAGCACCTATCTTATCTGAGGCACTTATTGGTGTGCCACATCATGATATCATGGGCACCAAATTTTGGTTTTCCTGGCTCTAGATCCACCACAGTATCAAGAAAGCTGAGCAGTAAGCATCTTACTTTCAAAATAAGAAACTATTCTTCCACTATGGCTTAAGCAATGGAACACTGATACAACCTGCCTAGAGATCTGCTGTGCAATCAATAACCTGCAAAACAATGACAGATGGCTGTTCAGTGTCTGCCTCTTTGTGTCCAGCATGCAACTTTGAATGCTGCATCTGCATTTAGAAGCAGATGCTTATCAGCCAGAGTCTGTGCATGGATGGATGCTTCATCTGATCAGGGATGGATCAGGGGTGGATAGCCTTATAAAGCTATTTGAGAAAGCATCAGATATAGAGAGTGTAGCTGATTTGAGTGTGGATGGCAGACTCATAGAGTGGATTGGCAGTGTCATGCTGATATGAGTTGGATGGAGCCCCAAAAGGGATAGTCTAAGCACTCACAGGAGCTGTTGCTGATAAGAAAACAGACCTTCAGGCCTCTAGTATTTAAAGGAGAATCTTGTAGGTAGAAAAGGGATGAACTTTTATGGTATAAAGAGAGAAATAAAATTCCACTAATCTTCTATAAGCCAAAGCCATAAGCATACCTAGAAGCCTTTGAGCCTGATATTGCACAAGCAGACAGCTTAGAGCAACTCTTGTAATCTCTCTCTTATCTCTTTCATATTCTGCTTGTATCCTGCCTATTTGCTTTCAAAAGTGAATGTCAGAGCTTGTACTACTAATGAGCCATTCACTCCAGATAGATTTCATCAGATTCACTCTGAGCTGCTAGATCTCCTCCTGGCAATTATAAAAGAACTTGCAACAGCAGATGTATTCTTTTTATATCAGAAAATTTATTAGCCTTACATTGGTCATAGAATAATCACTATGGCTATATAGAGCAACTCACATTATTATCCTACAGCACATGATGGATGTCTTGTCAATAAACAATGCCTCATTGTCTCATTCTCAACAACCAAATACAATAGCACTGTAGTCCAGCAACACATAACAAGTAGGTACTATATTTATTACACATGAAATCATATATAAGTAGTGTAGCTCTTACTGTAGAACTCCAACTTTGAGCTAAAGTTTATTCTATACCACTCTCTCTCTCAAGCTTCTCCTGTCAGAGCCTTGAACACACTCTAAAGCACACTAGAGTGGACTCCAGCATGACTATATAAATATAGTACAATGCTAGTTTATCACATGCTGAGCAGGTCTAATAATTAGTTCAAAGCTGCCTGCTTCTCTTTTCTTATACACACTAGTAGTAAATAAAACTGAATGCATCAACTGCTGACCTCACTATCAACTTCTTCAAGCTCTTGAGTGCCATCATTAGCATGTTGCTTGGGCTTTTTGCTCTCATCCTTCTCTGCCAAGGAAATCAGTCTATCACTAGCTGGATTCTCCAATATTATATCTATCTCATAAATCTCTCTCATACTACCTTCTGTTGACCAGAAACCTCAGAACTTCCTCTTCATGACATTCCTTAAGATGTCCTAGAACTTAGAAACCCTCTAATCTCCAAACCAGCAAACATCAGAATCTTCTATGAGCCCACAAATCTGGAAGTCTCTCTCAGACCCATATCTGAAGGAACTCCTGAAGATGAGGCTACAGGAGCTGGTTCAGAAGTATCAGAAGTTTTGTCTACAATGTGGTAAAACTGCCTACTCTTCATCTCTTAAAATCAGCTCTCTAGAGAGTATAATGATGTTGAGGCTCTCATTAGCAACCTTCCAGTAGACTTCTGGGCCACTCTTGCCAGCAGCTTTATCATTGCCTCCTTTGAGCCCATAATTGGCAACTATGCCAGAGACTCCCTTAGCTCTCAGAACAGCCCAGACTAATCCTCCAGAGGAAGCAGAAGTGAATCTCAGGTTTCCTCTGACCCAGAAGTCTGAGCTTACACCCTGGCACACTGTGGCAATCAACTCTCTCCTGAGCACCTCACCTTCTCAGAAACCTCCAGCCTGAGAAGCAATCTTATTGGCATTCACTTCTCCTGACTTCCTCAGCCTGCCAGGCTCTGCTATGCTCATTCTATTGACATCAATGCAATACTCAGAGATGGAAGCTTTTCCCTCCTTCAAAACTCTGAGTTTCTTTGACTCATCTACTAAAATCATAAGGAAGTGGAAGCAACAATACTTGCCAAAGAAGAATCTGGATCCTCCACTCCTTAAGTCCAATGATATGCTGGATACATGTTCAGCCCAAAATTTGCAAATTCTGCATAATATACTAGGATATGCTAGTAACTGAGGATCATTAGCCAGTAAGAGGACTATGGCTGAAGCTCCAAGCTAATAGTCATGCTAGTTCACCAATACTAGGTTCAAAAGAGACTTTGTTAAATAACACAGCATAAAGATAAAAATCCTAAGTTGAGTTTGAACTTAGAAAAGTTCTGTACTACATCTTAGAAAATACTAAGTCCAAGTTGGACTTAGAAACAGTATCTCAAATAGAGCCAATTCTACATGCCACTGAGACAAGTATATTCTAAGACAGCTAGGGATATAATACCATAGCAGGTTGTGAAGTATTGAGTAAAGACAGCACCATCCAGGAGCAGTAGAAAGTGAGACCCAATGATCTGTGGCTAGCACTCTGAGTTTTGACTCAAATACCTAAGTCAGAATTTTTAGGTGTCAGGTGACATAAAAGACTTAGAATTGAGAGGAATAGAGTGGATAGAGCTGATTGGCTGAGCCTGATCAGGCCTGATTAATTGAGCTACTAATAATAACCCAGAAAATTAAAACTCTGGGTAAACAGAAAGGAGTTAGGTACCCACAGATGCTGTAAGCTTAAAATAAAGCTGTGCAGTGGCCAGACAGATCTGGACAGACCTAAGAGAGTCCAGGAGTGCCATCAATCTGGAATAGCAGCCTGATTCTGCTTCAAACAGAAGAAATATTATTTTAGACATATTATTTATAGATTCTATATCTATTTTTTATATATAAAAGTAGAGAAGGGGGGAAAATAGCAAGCAAGTGACCCAACCCTATGTTCAGGTCTTCTATCTCACTGTAGTTAGTCTCTGGGATAATAGTTTTTGAGTTCTGCTTTGACTTAGTGATTTATTTAAGTTGCTTTGTCACTTAGAGAGGATATTAACTGTATTTTGGGTTTTGGATTAATTTGGGTTCCAAACTATAAGGGTTTCAGCATCAGAATACAAGTTCTTTAGTTTTGAGGACTGCTATCCAGCCAAGAGTGCAGCTAGTCAAGTCTAAGTGCTTGATAGACTTAGTATTTGAGTTTCAGAGTTTATTGGATTTTAGAATATTCTAAGTTGATTTGAGTTGCAATTGTGCATTGATTGTAAGTCCTAACTGTACTTAAACATTGCAATAAACTACCCTCATGAGTATTGCATCTTAAAAAGCAAGATAGAGTTGAATAACTGTCTTTATTGACTGTTTCTTTGATTTTATTTAAGACTGCAAGAGTGCTTCTATTATACACAAAACAACTGATCTCAATTGTATTTGGTGATAGTGTATTGAGTGGTTAGGTGTTGGTGTTTGAGAGTTCATTCCTCATTCACCTCTCTTAGTCACTTAGCTGTTACTAAGCACATCACTGGAAGACCAAAATTGCCCATAAAAACCAGGACAATAAGGCCTCCAACCAATCCTCCAACCTCAAATCCAAGGGGTCCAGCTCTTTTTTCTCAGACTCTAGCTCCACACCAAAATCTACCACCTTTAAACTCTATGCCAACAAGCTAGGCAAAGACAGCTGTCTTATTCAGGAAGAAAAAGACTGCTGATGCCAGAACAACCTTTGCATGTTCTGTGGAGCCAAGCACAAGACCAAGGATTGCAACAAATAAAAGGCTGCAGCCTTTGCCAAAGGTCATACAGCAAAAGTAGACACTGCCTCCAAGGAACTAGCTCCAATAGAGTCAGAAAACTAGAAAACAATCCTGTTTTCTCTGTATGAGTTCAGAGTTGCATTGACTCTATTTGCACACTGGAGGTTATTACTCTCAATGCAACATCTCTCTCCAACCATTCCTTCCATCTCCCACTTTCAGCAAAATTACCATCTAGTATGAAATCCAATGGGTCCCCAATTTCTACCATTCTGTGCTTTCTTGCTCTTATCAATTCTGGTTCTAGCCACTGCTTTGTTGACACTAAGTATATAGCTGCCAATGATATTTCTATTAAAACCATCTCTAGTGTGCAGCTCTGATTATTTGATGGCTCTGTCAGAAGCTACATATCTCAAATTGCAACTATCCCTATCCATTTCCCTTCTGGAGACACCTTCCCCATCAACTTCTATGTCACTCATCTGGATTTATCTTGCAATCTTGTCTTAGGA